GTTATTAGCAAATAAAAATTTACTTAAAAAATACGAATTTTTAGGTGGTCGGATACTTTTGGCAGGGGAGTGTACATATGTAACTGTAATTCTGATGTAACTTTTACATACATAATAAAAATGTCGATACTACATAAAAATCGATCTTTAATGTCTTATATTTGTTGTTTCATAATTATTGTAGCCAGTCTTCCAATAATTCCAATAATTCCAATAATCATTTTTGCAATTATTACTGTTGGAATTGCGGTATGCAATGAAACAAATATTCGAATATTATAAATAATAATTTATCGGGATTACATAAATAACTTAATTCTTTTTTAGTTTTTTCCGGTTGCCTGTGTTTGCCTATTGATTGCCGTAATTGCTTACTTTGGTTATCTTGTTATCAGGATTCTGAAAAGCTTTGTTATACACTTTTTCAATATGGCAACGATTACCGATTTGGGATCTAAAGCCTCTTTCCGCATTCAGGTATTTTTGTAACGTTATGCGAAACTAGCAGATCAATGATATAATTATTCTCAATATTCTCAGGTTTACAAAAAAAATGAAAATGATTTATCTATGAATGGTTCAATTTCTATGCAATCCAAATTTGATGAGGTAAATAATGGTATTATGGTACTTAAAAATAATGAAACGAAATATTTATTTTAATGGCCTTTTGTTTTTAAAGATCCGCACTAAAATCGAACAAAAGCTGGAGGGAAATTATTCAGGCATTGTAAAGATCAATTTTCCTGCTGGAGAACTTGGTGACCTTAAAGTATGTGAATATATCCACAATGCCTTCAATGCTGAAATAATCGGAGATAATCTATTCATCAAAGTAAGTTTTACTATTGCTTAAATATCTCTCATGCTCTCACTAATTTTTTGTATCATTTAAGAGTGATGGTGGAGAAAAGGAAAGAGTCCATGTGAAACTCCTTTTTTCGTTTGAGAACCAAAATCAAACTTGGTGGGCAAGTGCCAACACTATATGTGTAGTCAGAGGCAACCAGTACAGACCTGATGTAGGTGTGTGGTTTCGACCCCCAACTCGTCAACAAAGAAGGATGCCGATCGTTTATCCATGTCCACCTCCAAATGTTTGGGTCGAGGTAATTTATTGATTTTCTGTTTGAAAATGTGGCCAGTATTGTTTAAAATTATTTGATATTTGCAGGTATTCTACAACAATGACAACGATCGTAGTTATGCATTTAACAAGATTAATTTTCTTCAGCAAAATACGACTGGCATTGAATTTGTGGCAATAGGTCTTTCTTCTGGACTAAACCCTTTTCCCCCTAAACCTGAAACTGAAATGATGGTTCATGCAACTAGTCAACTTACACGACCTACCAGAGCACCATATGCATGTCATTGGGATTTAAATCATAATGAGATATGGTACAAAATGGATTGGAACCAATTTATTATCCTTAGATGTGGTCTAACGATAAGCTTTGACGTTGTGCTTAAAGAGTTATAGGCTACTCTATTGTGTATATGTATCACGCACGTTTGAGAAAAAAAAATAATCGTAGATAATTATAATTTGCCTTAGTAGTACATATATCAGTTATGCGATATATATTATTATCACATATTTTATCATATCAATAAAGAGTTAGGCTGAAAACTAGTTTTTTATATGCAATTCATTACATCTCCACACATGATCTATTTTTTTTAATCCATTTTCGATCTTGAAACTCGACTTCATATAGTAACTATAACCCACAATTATAGCACGGTTAAGTTATGAAACGCGAAACATAAGACATAAGTCCCAAGATTTGGGCGAACTTTATTTTATTGCTATTATTATATTTCACAGATACGTTACATAATAATATTTAGGAATTGGTGGAAAAAGAATAAAAAAACATCGATTTAAGTTTTCGTTGACCGAGTCGGTCAGTGAAATCACGTGCATGTGGCGCAGTAACTAGGATTCGAATTTCTCTACTATAGCATCAATCTCCAGCTTAACTTGGAGATTCGCAATGATGAATATGACTTAACCCTTTCTATTTTATCCTCACCAATCATAGTAAACAGATTATAAATTTTTCTTGCCCTTTCTATTCTTTTTTTTACTGCATTCTTCGATAGATCAGATGTAGTTGCACTGACACTTCTTTGGTAAGCAATCTAGGGGCCTTACACTCTTTATTAGTTTTTATATATTCTGCCAACTTCTCTTCGAGCTTCTTTCCAAACAAAAAATATGCTCTAATAACTTCTTGATTTGTACTTCCAATTCGTTCCTCAGCCTTAATAATTGTATCATATAAATCAATAAAATTACCTAGGCTCGTGATATATTCGGTTTGAGATGTGGTACTACTTGAAGAACTAGATGATGACAGCTCCTCAATAAGTTTTTTCAACATGGGATGATCTTTGTTCTTTTTTCTATCGGCCTTTTTAACCTTTTTACTTGGGGATTTTTCTATAGAGATGGTCTCGCTGATACGTTTTTTAGGCAAACTTGAATATAATATAGAATCGTTAAATAATGATGGGAATATATCCATCAAATCATTAATATTCTGACTTTCAGGTATGCTGTCAACCGTAGATTCTACCTCCTTCTTGCAATCAGGCTTTGGGCATATTGAATGTTTCTTGATAGAAGTTTTGATATAATCACGATGATATATATGGCCACAGACCAGTATGATAATTGGGTTTTTTATTTCAAACAAAAAAAGTTCTTGATTGCATAACGAGTACGGGTCTAGTTTGGGAATATTAATATTGCTTGTAATTTTTTCCGGGGATGAATCCTTAAGAATATTTAAGGCAAAAGTTTCGAGGTATGAAATATTGATAGACATAACTCATATAAGTTTCTGAAAACACCCATCTTTTCTCATCTCATATCAACTATATACCCACTCATATATCTCGAAATTATGTGTTTTAGATACTGTTATCTCTATTTTATTTTTAAATTTATTAATTATTTATTTATATATTTATATATTTTATTATCTTATTTATTC